TACTTTATAAAGGCCTTGGGTGTGAATCTAGTTCGGAGTACATGATGGGCGTTGGCTTGCCCGCTTGATTGGTTTGACTTTGTTTGAGTGAATAGACCAGGCAGTCTTCACAGAAGGTCGAATACAGGATGTGGTGTACCAGGAACTGGTGTACCAGTGCCAGAAGTTTACCTGTTAAGAGGTGGCAGGTGAAGACTTTCTCTTAAGCTCCTCGAAGACCAACGGCAAACTTGTTGGAGATTTTCGTCAGGAGATACTGTCGGGAATGTGGGAGCACGATGAGTGTTTCTGGGCGCAATGTGAGAACGAGTCAGCTTCTCTGCAGGCTTGTCTGCTTCAGGTATGGATGGTTTTGTTTCTGTTTTGTTTTGTAACTGGGCGGAGCTATGGGTAGCACGATGACATCACATTCCCGCGCACAGTATCGGTGTCTGCCAGATGGAGGCTAGTTTTGGTCACGTGATCTAAACTCTGGGAGTTTGTCAGAAGTTTGAATAGTTTAACTTTGTTGTCAGCGCGGTGACAGATGAAATCTTTCTCATACTGCTCTCTAAAGACCCACAACGGTCCGGTTGGATGTTTCATGAGGAGGAACTTCGCCTGAGGATCTGTCGGGAAGTTTCGGAGCCTGCCGATCGTTTCCAGATGCGGCGGTTTCTCTGGATGCTCGTCTGCTTCAGGACATCAGTGCTGGAGTGACTAAAGGTTGAGGAGGGAGAAGCTATGTTTTGCTCTTCCCTGAGAAGAGCCTCCCTGGTTGTAGCTAAGCTCAGATGATGAGTCTGATGTGGCTGGAGGATGGAGAGAGGAGTTCTGATTGACGTCCTCTCTTCGGGACAAGCGATGCGGTTGATGGCGTTTCTGGAGCGACGCTGGTCTCCTCGTCTCGGGGGCCTCGTTGTGGATTCGTCTGATCGGCGTGGAGCAGATCTGGAACCGGGCTGCAGTTCTCTCACAGAGGGCTGATGGATGAGAGGCTCCAGGTGAGTCAGAGTTTTCTAAAAACTTGTAGACTGGCAGCGTTTGATTCTCTGTGCAGGAGAAGCGAGAACCAACAAGTGGGAAGGTCAGAGTGGAGTGTAGAGACGTAGGACAGGAAGAGGAGAGGTTGAGGTCTGGTCCTGCCCTCCCGAACCTCATCTCAAGATGTTATCTCCATTTAAACCAATTACATTAATTTTGGTCATAGCTAAACCAAGGATGCAGCAATGGTGTCCAATCAAAAATACCGAAGAGGAAATTGTTCAGGTGGAAAATTTGCATGTCAGGAGAACTAATGGCTAATTCACTTGACTACATACAGTCAGACTTGATAATCCAACACTAAACGTAAAACCTTCTTTTATGTCAGATAGCAAGGCTTTCGGATTGTCAAGACTGAGGTTGAGATACAAGGAGGGCTTGATGTTTGAACGGTAATTTGTTGTTAATATTTGTTTTTTATAGTTGTTATAATAAACTATCTACTTATATGATATTGTTGTGGTTTATATGTTAATCAACCGATTGTCACAGAATATGTGTCTTTTATGAACTGTACCAATCTGTCCTGGGAACATTTCGGATGTTCTAGCTTGTACTGACACAGAGCTCCTTTTTTTACCACTCCTATTATCTCTGTCTGTTTTCATTTGGTCGGTTGCTTCATGACAGTGCACAACCTGGTCTGTGACTTCTTGAACGCTGGTGAAAACTTGGTAGATACAATTTTACATATGATGTCTGGGGTGTATCAGTATCGAAGCAATTAGTTTCTATGATTGATAAGCCTAATACAACTGCAGTATATATAGGTTCATAGAATTGTTCAGGTGTCAAAACGTGTCACATTGTTTAATACTTCAAAGAACTTCAAAGCACCAAACTTATCCTTCCTGTGTTCCACACATGTAGAGTTGTCTACGAACAAACTGATGCCAACCGACTTAATTAGTTGGGCCAGCTCTCTCAATGAGCAGGACTAGTGCAAGGGTACCCAATCCTGGTCCTCGAGGGCCAC